CTCTAAAAATGTTCTTAAAGAGTAAGAGAAAGAATTTAAAGATGAGTGTGTTTAAAAAAAATCCCAGAATGGAAACGTGAATAGGGGAAGAGGAAAGGTAATCCATAAAGATGAATAGGGCCTGGCTATGAGGAGATAAATAAAAGTACTTAAGAAGAATAGAGATGCCAGAACATGCAGTAACATTAGTCAAGGATGAAGTCAGATGCAAAGCAGGACCCCACAGAACATGACGCAGGAGCCGGCGGGGAGGGCAGGGCAGTACAGGCAAGTACGCACGCCCGCTGCATGTACCATGTGGACTTTGTTACCCAGGAGTCAGTTTAAAACAGTTAATGAATTCTCCAGTCTAAATAAAGAGATAAGCTGTCTAAAAAGCTCCACAGAGACATACTGCTAAGTGTTCACAGGTCAAAACTCATTGAGTCAGTTTAAAACAGTTAATGAATTCTCCAGTCTAAATAAAGAGATAAGCTGTCTAAAAAGCTCCACGGAGACATATTGCTAAGTGTTCACAGGTCAAAACTCATTTAAAAATAGCAGAGATACCAGACTTTTTAGAATGGCTCATTGACAGTATTTCAAAATGATTGAGAATATGTCACTAAAATATATTTTCTAAGTCTCAATGTTTTTACATATAGAAGAAGAGAGAGCTAACTGAAATTCATTTGATTTTCACTCTTTAGTGAGTATTTGCTCCTAGATTTCCTTCTACTCTGTCAAAAAGCTCATATTCTGCCACGTGCAGAATTTGTACAGTTATGTTCGTGTAGCCATTAGCTTCTAGAGAAGTTGTCTTCAAACTTTTTTGATATGACCCAATATATGCATATTTATTTATAAATTAAATATATATATATATATCCTACCAAGCTAATGATACATAAATTATATAACTTAAAGAAAAAAATTAAAATTACGGAAAAAAAGTAGAAATTCTAATATATTCTTCTTGAATCCCAGCGGACCTCCCCTCCCTGTCTGTGTATCTGCCCCTCCTCAGAGCCCACTGACTGCCGTTTGGGTCTCTCGAGTCCCACTGCCTTACTGTACGTTTACATGGCTGTGTACCTTCGGGGAGACACTTAGCCTGTGTGCCTCAGCTTATCTGTAAAACGAAGATAATAATAGAGCCTGCCTCACACAACCGCCGTCGAGATTAAGCAGGCCAGTGCCCGTGAAGTGCTCCCCGTCGTGCTGGCATGCCGAAGTGCTCTTCAGTGGTAGCTAGGATCTACGACTGACATTGGGCAAGAGCAGGCCTTCTTTCGATGACTGTTGACTTAAAGTTGATTATTTGTGGGATTTAAGATTTCAAGTTGTTTCATATAAAATAATGCATGGAGATTTGTTATCCTTCCTTATCCCTGTGCCCTTTTTTTTCTATTATTTTCCCCAGGCTGGAGCTAAGCACATGACTTTTCATATCTTTAGTGAAATTACAACTGTGTATTCACCCTGAGGGTTCACAGTTTCCCCAGGAAAGGACAGTGATTACTTTGTATTAAAAAGATCATCTCTTCATATTCTGTTTAACATGACAGCAGTGATGCCATGAGGACCAATCCCGGCTGCACATTATAATCATATGGGGAGCCTGATGCCCACGCCCCAACTCAAGAGCTTCTGATTTAATTTGTTAAAATCTCCCCAGGTGATACTAAAGTGCAGCCAGGGATTGAGCAAGGGAAAAGTCAGCCCTTTATGTCCATGGTTCTCGCTCCTAGCTGTACATTCCAACCACTTGGTGAGCTCTTCAAAATACCAATGCCTGGTGCCTTGACCTCAGTCTAATTAAATAAATATCTGCGGATGTGGTCAGGGCATGAGTAATTCTTAAAAGCTCCCCAGTCGATTCTTACATGAAACCAAAGTTGAGAAATACTGTTTTATGTAAACCAAATACTAACAAAGACAGCAAACCACAATAGGAATTTTAAGCATAATTAGCAACAGATGACTGACCCTTACACACCTCAGGGGAGGCTGACTGAATGATGGTGTGCTCTACAATCATCTGTTGCTCACTCGTGAGCCTCCCTAGCTTGAGTTTGGCTTTGCTCTCAGGCCAGCAAACCCATGTGGGAGAGAAAAGCCCCACCACTCTTAGGAGTGGCCCACTGGTGTCTAGAAACTCTTTGAAAGGGTAAAGTATTACACCAAACCTACTATTATTGTTACTTGTCATCATTTTTCTTCAACTGCCTGGTTGCTTATCTTCTCCAGCCACCTTGAGAAGTAAAATACATCTTGCCTTGTCCTTTCCTCTTGCTCTTATCTCCCTTTTTGCTCATAGGGCATTATTTCTAATTACTAGGCACACTCTCCCTTTTTCCTCATGGGGCATTATTTCTAATTACTCTAAAAAGGGCAAGGGGGATAAGGGCACAAAGGAAAATCACTAAAATTGTAAAGCTAGGAAAGGAAATGTCCCAGAATTGTTTTTTATAACAATGCCCCAAATACCAGACTTACTTCTCTAGATATCTTAATGTTATTTAGTTAGGTTATCATAGTGCATATTTAATTTAAACCTCAAAGTTGCTTTAAGAATACATTTTACAGATAAAGAAACAGATTATGAGAGGTTATGTGACTTGTCCCTATGGCAAATTCAGAATCTGAATTTTTTAAGGCCAGTACTTCTTTGACTACACTAGAAGTGCATCGCAGAAGCTGATAGATACCTTTCTGTCACTATTCTTTTTTCATGGAAGGGAGAATCTCTAGTGGCTCCACAAAAGATTATAACCCACTGTTCCCAGAGCCTGGAGATAAGGTTAAGCTCTGGGAGTTACAAGTATCATGATTGTGGTCATTAGAAGGTGCCCCTATTGCAGAGATGATTCCCAAATCCAAGCAGTAAATTTAAAGGGGCCACTGGGTGTTGCCTCCACAGAGCATGTCTGAATATGATTAAGTAAAAACAAAGTAGTAGTCAAGTAATTATCTTAACATGTGAATAAAGAGTCTGACAAAAGAAGTAGTGAACAGAAAGCTGGTTATGTTGCTGGTTAGTGGTGGATCTCCAGCATTGCTCCTGAAGATGTGTCTGCCTAATGCTGTACCAGGAGCCCCTTGTTATGATTCCAGCTTCAGCAGGCCATCTTCCTAGCCTCCTAAACTTTCACACCCAGGAGAAAAAATTCTTGCTCAGTTCATATCAGTATTTTGTTTTTTCTAGTAGTTACATTACAAATATAAATGTGAAATTAGCATCTGGTTTATGTAACAACATTTCTCTGAGTTTGATTAGTATGAAAAGCTATAACCATGGCAACCCAGCCAGCCTGCCACACTCGGAGATGCTGGATTCCTTTGATCTGCCGTTTCTTTCCCCTCACTAAATGGAGCATTTTAGGGCAAGACAGTGGCATGAACTAGTGAGTCAAGAACTGCCCCTCAACTTAAATGAGTAATTAATAGCTTTGGGAAGTTCCAAAAGGTGACTCTAATGTTCAATTGTTCCATACTTTACATAGGAAAATCATCCTTTGTTATGTTTGGCCATCTAGGCCATCCTCTAAAAATAGAAAAATGGTACAATGCAGATCTCTTTTATGAAATTTAATTTCTGAGATCTTCATTTATAATTTATGCTTTTTTCCCCCAAAACTTCAATCTAAGTATTTCTTTGAACTCATTTAAAAATACTAATTTTCATTTGCTTTTTTCATTGGGTTTTTTCTCATGAGTTTTCTTTGTTCGAATATTATTTAATCCATTGCAACCTTTTTTCTTCTACTAAGGCCATGAGGTTAAATGGCACTTCCCCCCAACACTGAAATCACATGGGTTTTTGTGGACCCCATAGCAGGAGGGGACTCCTCTGGGAACTGGGATGTTCTTGCGGCAATTTCTCAGCTTCAGGGGTCATGGTTTCTCGCCTATGAGAAATGAAGGACCAAAAATAAAGCCTTCTGTGCAGCCCTTCTCTGTTTGTCAAAGCTAAGTCAGGTTGGAAAGAGTTTGCATCACCAGCTCCATGTCTTCTAGAGGTCTATGGACCTTGCCTTCAAGGTTACATTTATTTTCAGAGATCTTACTCCTCTGCGTCTCCGGGCCGCCCAGCTTAACACAAAAAAGACACTGTTTGCCCATCCCACAGTAAGTCTTCCCTCTCCCCTATTCCAAAAGTTCCTGCCCTGCTCTGTTTCACTTGTTTCCAGCATTTTCTTACCCCCTCAGAGTATGGCTTAGTCCTTGTGGAAGGAAGTGTGTGCTGAGTGTTCCTGATATTTCCTTAGAGCTTATATCACCACACTAGTCAATTCTCTTGCATCCCCTCAAACACACAGAAGCAAGGTTGTTTTTCGTTGTTTTGCACTCAACCAAAATGTGATGTCCGTGAGTTAGTTCTCCAAGCTGCTTACCCATGTTTCCACTCAGCCAGAGTCCTTTTCTTTTGGAGGTACTTGTTAGCAATTCTGGGGACTACAGCTCACAGTCACCTGTCAGTAACCCCTTCATTCTTGCTGCTTTCCACTTCCTTTCTGCTAATCCTGCATCTGCTAATCCTGCATCTGTCCTGTCTCTGTGAGGGTAGGCGTACCTGCCCATATTCTGGAATATGTAGGGATTCCATTGCTGGAATTTCTTTAAGATTATTTTTTGAAGAGCTAGTTAACTCCTGGCCCAAGAGGAGTCATTTATCTTTGGGAAGATCGGATGTAACATAGATGTAGGGTAACTGCAAACCTCTTCACAGTCTCTAATATTAAAGAGGCAGGTCGGTCTCACAAAGATGTACACAATGCTCTGGTCTTTCAAGAAATGTCTACCTGCTTATAGACAGGGTTTCTTTGGAAACCCAGTTACTTTTTTTTTCAAGGGATTACCCTTAGTTTGCAAGGAGAGAACACTTCCCTGAGTGATTAAAATTAAAGGTATTACTTATGATCATGAGAGTTAGAAAAATAGCCAATAAATCATATGACAGTACAAAGTTTTTTTTTAAATCTGAAAACAAACTTACAAAATCTATATTAGAGTGAGACTTCTAGTTTCAAAGAAAATTATTTATTACAACACTTCACTAAATATTTAATAGTACTAATACATGCAAATACCAAGTTTGAAAAAAAAAAACCTACTACATAAGGTATGCTAAGCACCTGTGTTAATATTAGTGGAATTCACAATCCTTGCAATATTTTAATAAAAGCTAACTGTTAACTGAGGGAGAGTGGAAATGTCAATATCTACCCAAGTGAAATAACACTTTATTTTAAAAAACAGTTCAACCATCAGTGTTACCATTCTAACTTTTAACAAAGACATTACATAAAACAGGAATGCTTATTTGTGCCAAGTTTTCATTTAAAACAATCACCAAATCAAAAATGATATTCTCTCACCCAGACATGAGGATAATCAAATCACACTTTCTAGTACATTTATATCAGCCTATAAATAAACCAGACATTCTTTTCTTCTTTTGTTGTTACCTTACAGAAAAAGCTTAATATCACAATCAATGCTTAGAAATACAGGTTTTGGAGCCATATAAAATTTTAGTTTCAAATTTCAGCTCTACTGCCAACTAGCTGTGAGACATCGGGCAAGCTTCTTAACCTTATGAAGCCCATTTCCTCACCTATACAATGGAAAAAACATGTTGCAAACACTGGGATAATATATCTTAGGAGCTGAATTGTGTCCCCCAAATTCGAATGAATCCTAATCCCCAGTGCCTCAAAAGCTGACTATATTAGGAAATTGGGTCTTTAAGGAGGCAATTAAGTTAGAACAAGGTCATTAGGGAAGGACCTTAACCCACTATGACTGGGATCCTCTCAAGAGGAAATTTGGACACAGACAGGCACAGAGGGGAGATGTGAAGTCACAGGGAAGACAGCCACCTACAAGTCAAGGAGAGAGGCCTCAGACGAAACTAACGCTGCCAACACCTTGATCTCACTTACAACCTCCAAAAATGTGAGAAAATACATTTCTATTGTTTAGGCTACCTATGGGGTATTTAAGCAGAGGTACTTAAGGCTACAGTCTGTGGTACTTTGTTATTGCAACCCTAGCAAATTGATATGTAAAGGATGTAGAATAGTGCCTGGAACATGGTAGATAATCAGTAACTTAATTACTACTATTATTATCTTCCCAGAGCTCTTCTAATATGTAATTCCAGAACCCATACACATAATTCAGTCCTTCTCTGTTTAAATCATGTGAAGTAGTAAAAAGAAAAGACTGTTGGGATAGGCAGTCTGCCATGGGTCTGGGGATCCCTGCACGTTCTTGCTTAGTATTGAGCTTTTTTTCAGGTCATTTCTCGGGGCTGTGTTTGCAGTGAGGAACCTGGAAGAATGATGTAGTATGTATTATCTCCCTCCAGACAAAGAACAGGCTTATTTCTGCTTATAACTTGTGAATTGCGTAAGCTCAGCATTTCTCTCTTGTAACACAACCTAGCACTTGGGCAGGCATTCATTGTGAGCTCTTTATGTCATGGGACTTGGGAGCACAGGGGACCAACACAAACCAACATGAACTCTGGCTACTATAAAGTCCTTTTGTCTCAGACCCAGGAGTCTCATGTCTTCTGCCAGTATCCCATGAAATGTTAATAGAATAACTTGTCAGCTTGTAAACAGTGCAAAATCTGACTCTGCACAGTTCTGGAGAGTTTTGGCCAATAGAGGCATGGTTTTCTGGAAAAGATGAGGACCCCAGTGGGCTGGGCTAAGAGAAATAAGACCCTTCAGGATCCAATAGGGAGTGCTTTCACTCAAGTAGCAGAAAAGAGGGAAGGTTGTAGGGGCCTCTCACTGTCCTATCTGTTAATGAACGTTTGGAGGCTAAGCATTGAGAGATAGGATTAAAACAAGACACTCAAATGGTGTCTTGGTTTTTGCACACTCATTTCAGGGTGGAAGAAGGATTTGGCTGTGGCTGCTAAGGGCTCCCTAAAGCTGAAACAAATGCTGTCAGCAATGAGGAAAATATAAGTCTGTAGAGCACAAGTTGGGTAGCTGATCAAAACCAAACATAAATACAACATGTGGCTTACTGGCATGGAGCTGTTCTCTCTACACACCTCCAAACCTCTTTCATCTACCCTGACTGCTGGTGCTTGAAGAAAAAGGGAGCTTTGGGAAAGAAAGGGACTTAAACTTTTATAGCTCTGTTAGGTACAGGTACCCAAGTCACCATTGTACCCAGTCCCATGAGGAAAGTGGGTATCAGACACGAGGTGACCAAAGGTACCAAGGACTGCAGTACACTGAGAGGCAGTAGTGTACATAATGACAGAAAGGAAGGTTCCCCAGACTCTGGGTGCCCTCTAGATACTGGAAAGTATACAAGAGAGACGTTGGCACCAACACTGAAGTGTAGAGCCAAGAGAGAGAAAAAGAGCCTCTGTAGCTGCCACTCTCACTCCCTGCTTTTTCCTGAGCCCCCAGCCAGGGAGATAACATAATCTCCTGGCAGCTGTTAAAGCCCCTTATGTGCAGGCATTAAACATTCCCATGGGGGAAAAAGTGACTAAAGTCAAATATAGGATTAGAACAAATCTTGCAGTGAAGAAAAGATGTGACCCAGTGGGTGGGGCTCTGTGGACCAATTCAGTGTGCTTCTGTTGTGAATACATAATTGGTATTGAGGTGTTAAATGCTTAATCTGTAGATGCTCACGAAATGCCAGATTCTCCTTAGGTCAACACTACAGACTGGCTTCATCCTGCTGCTCAGAGTCTGTTAACAGTAGCCTTAATTAAATGCTGTATGAGACCAACTGAATGGATTTGGTATTGACTAAACAACCTGTCAGATTAATCAGAGTAGCCAATGTGCAGCACACTCACATGAAAATTCAAATTTGGCCAAGAATGTGTGGAGTTGAAGAGTGGATTGTTGGAAGAGGCTATCCACTGTGGGCTCTGAGAGACACTGCATACTTTCTGGGTATGCCATGAATGCAAGGACCTGACTTATCTTTACCCAGATCATGTCTCAGGCTTGTTTACACTAGGCAACCTTGAGGCATGAGGTAACAACTCTCCTTGGACAAATTACAGGATTGTTTCTATTTACTATAAAGACAGTCTATATTCCAACCTTAGTGTTTCTCTCCTGTAACACAACCCGCTCTGTATGCAGGCTTCCATCATTGGCCCTTTGTGTTGCTTTTGTGAGACTTAGAGAAATGAGGAACTGTCACAAGCCACTATGAGGTTCTAGCTACTGCTTGTGCTGTGAGTGATAAAAGTCCTTTGTCTCTGACCCAAGTGTCTCATGTATTCTGTAGCATCCCATGAAATAGAAACAGGCTAACTTGTCGGCTTGTAAATAGGGTGAAACAGCAGCTCCTGCACAGTTATTGACATACATCAGTTATTTTCTTGGTAATGGCTGGCATTTTAGGCACTATGACTTTGCTACTAGAAAATTTATTATTAGCATAATATATTACAAAAGATTATTTTCCAAAGACTTAGTCAATTAACATTACAAAAATAAAAAGCCTTCTGTTTCCTGGGAATTTATCTGTGTGTGTCCAAGTCCAGTAATAATTTCACTGTCTGTCTGAAGTATCAAAAGTACTAAATCCAAAGCTCGGCGCCATGCCTCAATCTTTGGTGTAACAACATCATAAACTCTTGCAATCTGTTCCAGTTTACTTGAAATGCCTGAATTAAAAATTCCACTATTTAGTTTACAATATTCATTCAAGATGTAAGTTGAAAGAGAACCAGAGTTTGTGGCATTTTGTAGATGATGTTGAATCAATACACTGGCTTCAAATTCTGATGAGCAACTGGCAGTGTTACATATGAGAGTTGAAAGGTATTTGTGCCATCCATTTGCCAGGCATTTAAGCACAGTTGGTCTGTATAGTGCCACAGATGAGGTCAACCAAGAGGAAGAATTATGAAGCCATCCTGAACAGGTTTGGTTTCCTTTATTCAGAGCTTGTTCTGCAAGAATTTGAAGATGGCTAAGACACAAAAATTCAACTGCACCACCTCCAAGGAAGACTTTTTGGTCTCTCAAAGAATAATACAGACGATAGGCACAAGTCCAGAACCTATCTTCTTTGATTTGCATCTGTGCAGTGACTAGGCTAGTGAGCACTACTGTAACCAAATTAATTCCTTCTGTTTTTAACATGATTGCTATTCTGTTGATACTATCTATAACATCCATAGAAATGCTTCTCCAGAAGGTCACACGGACCCCATTGCCCACACAGTTTTCATTCACTTGTGTAATGTAGGCCACCTGTACTGCTCCTGAAGCCTCTGCAAAAGCCTGCATCACATTGCTGTTCACTGATCCAATTACCAACCGCTTGCTCTGTGTGCATTTTTCTATTAAGTGTTCAGATACATTTCCTTGTGCCAGGACAAGGTTCACATTGAACTTGATTAATACCTGTAATACACAATTTGCCCATAGTTCTTCTGAGCTGTCTTGTTGAAACTTAATGCTTTCTAATACTGTTTTAATATTTGTAGACTTATTAAATCCCAGGTGGTGATAATTCTCTGTGAGATCACCCTCAATGAGAACTACCCGGATAGGCTGGTTCTGCAATTCCTTGATCAGAGCAGTACTAGATATTGAGACAGCAGTGATATATCCTCGACAAACACAAGAAAAAGTTTCAGGTAAACCAGATAAACAGCAAGTGAAGATTCTTGAAATGTCAAACATAAATGGCATTGTACAGCTGCCTTGGCGCACACTTGCGTTCCGATACTGCAGCCGTATTGCTTCTGCTACTAATTTCATGCTGCTGGGATCTCCGTGACTCAAACCCACCTCTAACTCTACCAAATCATTACATCTGTAAGTTCTGGGAGTAGCTGCACCATGTTGTTCTAGAAATCCATCTGGTTTGCTTATCCATTGATTATTACCTGTCCTATTAAAATGCCTGCTGTAGACTAGTATTGACTTTCTGCAGTGGGTGTCTGCAAGCAGGCTGTTTTTCAGAGTCTGAGGGTTTTGTGATGTGTTTTTATCTATTTCATCATTAGTCTGAGATCTAATGAGTGTAGGTGACTTAACAGGTCTTCCAGAAAGACTGTAAATGGTCAGTGGTTGAGAAGCAACATCTTTGAGATCATGCTCTTTCTGTATCAAACTAGTATCTGAAGGGATCTGTAGAAAAGGATATAAACTGACACTAAATGTTTCAAGTCCAGAAAATGTCTTTGTGTTGTCTATATGGTCAAACACATTGTAGACAGGCACTTGAAGGGAAACTACCTCTTCAATGCAAGAGTTCAAGCCTTCTGACATTACAGACACTATCAGTGAAATGGGAACACCCAAATGAAGACATTCTTCAGCAGCACTGCTCCATGCACCAACAAGAAACAGAAGAGTACTGGTTCCAGTCCTATATGTGTTATTGTGTGCTTCAACTGCTTCATTGAGAAGTTGTCCCACTGCACTGGTTAAATCCAAACTTTGAAGAAGCCGTACTATTGAACTGATTAGCACACTCTCGTGACACTCTTCATCTGTAATAAATTTGGATGATTTTACTGGGCCGAGGAAAGTTCTTCCTGTTTCTGCAAATGATGACAGTTGTTGCAGTCCCATATGCCTCCTTTTGTTTATGACCCTGCAAGCCATGGCCACAAATCATCATCTGCAAACAAAACAAATGCTTGGAGCTTTACTCAGTGTAATGTATGGTTATATGTGTTTATAAAAGAAAAATAAGATACAGCCTTTGAGGATTTGCTGGTGTATATAATTTCCATTAAGTATAATTAGTGCAATGATACAGTATCATAATGATTAATGATAAAGGCACAGGTGTGTGGAAGAACACTTCACCCAACAAGGGAAGCTGATCATGCAGATCATAGGCAATGCTTCCAGAAGAAGTCAATGCCTGGTATGAATAAGTCTTGAAGAGTAATTTGAAAGTTGGCAAATTGAAAATTGAAGGAGATGGTAGTAAATGCACAAATATGTGAAATATACAGTGTACTGAGGTAATACATGTAGTTTAGTTTTATGGAACTATAAAGAAAGTAGTGGGGAATAGTAGCAGATGAAGGTCTAGAAGAGGGAGGAAGAGGTTGCATGAAAGGCATTAGTGCTTTACCAAACTGGATCCTATGGGAACTACTGAAGTGGTTTAAGTAAGGAAGATTAAGAAGAGACTTGAGTCATGGGGAAGACAGTGTAGCTCAGAGAAGACAAATAGGGACTCTGTGGCATCTTACTACACTGACGGACAGTGACTGCAGTGGGGTATGCGGAGGGGACTCGATAATAAGGGCGAATGTAGTAACCACATTGTTTTTCTTGTGAGACCTTTGTAAGAGTGTATATCCATGATACCTTGATAAAAAAAAAGAGGAGGTGGAGCCAAGATGGCGGCTTGAGTAGAGCAGTGGAAATCACCTCCCAAAACTATATATATTTTTGAAAATACAACAAATACAACTATTCCTAAAAGAGAGACCAGAAGACACAGGACAACAGCCAGACTACATCCACACCTGCAAGAACCCAGCACCTCGTGAAGGGGATAAGATACAAGCCCTGGCCTGGCGGAACCCGAGCGTCCCTCACCCCAGCTCCCAGTGGGAGTAGAGGAGTCAGAGCGGGGAGGGAGAGGGAGCCCAGGACTGCTAAATAGCCAGCCCTAGCCATCCGCACCAGAGCACAGACACAGGGCATGCATGGGGTGCTGGAAATTAGGGAAACAGGACAGTAAGACCTGTCAATGGGTCCCCACAGCTGGCGCCCCTGGGACAAAGAAAAGCAAGTGCTTTCTGAAAGTCTTAAAGGGACAGGGACCCCAGAGCTGGACGGAAGCGTCCCGGGACACTTAGCCCAGCTGCTGGGAATCC